GGGGCCTCCCCCGCCCTCCCCAGCCCCTCAACCGTGTGGGTGGGTGGGAGACCCGGACCAGCCGTTTCGCGTGCCGCTGCTCCCCCTCCTTCCCAGGCTTGGTAGCCTGGGAGGGAGGGGGAGACTCCGAGTGGCCGCGGCGCGGGTGCCGCTTCTCCCCCTCCCTCCCAGGCTACCAAGCCTGGGAAGGAGGGGGAGCAGCGGCACGCGAAACGGCTGCTCGGGATCTCCCCCTCCCTCACAGGTTTGAGAGCCTGGGAGGGAGGGGGAGACCCCAAGCCACCGCGGCGCGAAACAGCTGATTCGCACGCCGTGGCAGCAGCAGCGGAGGTGAGCTAGGGCGGCCGGGGCACATTTTTAGGGGCGACATTCTGGCGCCGGCCATGCCGCCCCTAAAAATGTGCCGCCCCAAGCACCAGCTTGTTTTGCTGGTGCCTAGAGCCAGCCCTGTACTGAATGCTGTCTGATACTTGTCAAGGAGAAAAACCTGAACTAGTCAGTCATTGATATACAGGTAAACCAAGATATTCCTTCAACTTAAATGCACTACAACTACAACCAGGTACTTCATAAAAGTCCCTGTGGCCATCAGCAAGCCAAAAGGCAGACCCTGCATTGGTAATACATACTGCCCAGTACAAAACAGGTATTTTTAATGTGTTAGGTGAATCGAGAGCTGCAAACCAATCAAGAGGATCCAGGATGGGCAGAAAGGAAGAGAGGGCTACCATCTGAAACTTGAACTGATGCACAAAGGAATTTAGATTTCTCAAGTCTAATGTCAAATGCGAGCCTCCCGATTTCTTGGGAATCAGAAAATATTGGGCATAGAAGCCATTTGCCCAATGCTGAACAGGGAACTTCCTTGACAGGCCCTAGAGTCAGAAGCAACTGAACCCCTTGCCAAAGTAGACTCTTCAGGAACCCCCTCTCAGGAGAAGGGCAAGGAAGGAGGTTGCGGCTACTGGACAGACTAATAACTTTTTTGAATTATTTCCAGCACCCAAAATGGAAAATATTCAAACCCAACTGAAGGAACTGATACCATTTTTTCACCTTTTTACAAGTTGCAGGCAATGATGCTGGTATCTGCCATTGTAACTGTGACAGTTCTAAAACAATCTTGTTTATGGGAAAAGCAAGCCCCTCAGATTAGGACATACATAAAATGTCCAATAATTTATGTCCCTTATCTTGGACAGTCTGAATTGGCATTTCAAGTATCATTGCCATTTACCAAAGTTTAATTTATAATCCTGGTAAAGTCTAAGGTGATGAATCAGCTTTATCTGGTAATGAAGGGGATGCGTAAGTTAGGATAATATCAATAGCCTTATGCTAAGTAACATCCTTAGTGAGAAGCCAATGCAGCTAAAAAGCAGAAACCCCAAACTGCTGACATAATTGCGGATACTGAAACGCAGACAGATCCTGAGGTGAAGGCGACCTCTCTCTGGAAGCAGATGTTGAAGAGTGTCCGGTGGTGTGTTGATAGGACTACAGGAGCCAATAAGATCAAAAACTTTGACCACATAGATGAAAAAAACGTGGCTGGGGGTTGAATATTAGGCAGAGGGAACTGGCTTAATTTACCTTAGTTTGCCTTTAATCCTAGTCTGCATCCCCACTTTATATGGATCATAGCATGGCAACCTTGATGAAGGTGAGGCATCCTCACTATCAGAAGACGACGACAGCACAGCTTCATCTCCCTGTTGAGGGGCAGATCCTACAGGACTCCTAAGCAATATCCCCAATGGTCCTGACGTGGACAGCAATGGAGGCTCAGAGGGCAGTCACAGTCAGATCCCCTCATGCTGTGCACATCAGCACTTTGCTGCTCTGCTGGAGACAGATCCAGTTTGAAGGTTTTAGACCTAGATACAGCTGGCAGCAGCAACCTTGGCTCCTTAAAGCATTGCCATGAATGAGTTGGCCCCAAAGCTAACAGCTGTGACTGTGTTGGAGCTGAAGGAAGCAGAGCTGAGGAGCGCAGTGCCACTGCTAAGAGAAGCCCTCTGCCTGGTGCTAGAGAAGCAGGCACTAGCAGCCCCAAGATCTTAGAGGCTCTCTCTTTGAGACCTGAAGGGACTTGAGGTAATTTTAGAAGCAATCTCTGAAGAGCAAGGAAGGGGAATCTCTCCTTTCTTTTTTGGAGCAGTTTTAGTAGAGGACTGAGCCTTGTGCTACTTCCGGTAATAGGGTTTTTCTGCTATCTGCCCCAGCAGAGGCTGAGGTAACAGTGACCCCCTGAGGTCACTTTTAGCTGACAATTGTTCCAGACTGGGAAGATCCTATCTCCCTTCAGGATCTGAAATAGGTTACATTGATTTTTCTAACAGAGGAAGTTTTAGCCTGTTTTCTTTGAATTTAGCAGACCTTTTCATAAGGGACTTACAATCCCTACATTTTCCCCTAACAAGTCCATCAGCCAGGCAGTAAAGACAATTACAGTAGAGAACTGTCATTAAGGGGCACAGCAGCCTCACATGACAACACAATTTAAAACCTGGGGAGTTTTGAGCAGACATGAGGAAGTTTCCCTACTGGGAAAAACAAAAAAACCAAATAAACTAAAAACTTATCAGATCAATTACGATATACTCTAACTACCAATAACTAACTATTTACAGGTAAACTAATATACGAGCAGACAAAATGGGACACTATCAACTGGTTCTGACTAACAGTCAAGGACAGTGAAAGGAAATGATGGTTGGTTGCTCTGCCCTCTTTTATCCCCTCAAGTAGGGTTGCCAAGTGTCTAATCACACAAACCCAAACACCCTTGCCCTGCCCCTTCCCCAAGGCACTGCCCCCACTCACTTCATTCCCCTCCCTCTGTTGCTCACTTTCCCCCACCCTCACTCACTTTCATTGGGCAGGGGGTTGAAGTGCAGGCTCTGGACTGGGGCCAAGTGGTTCAGCGTGTGGGAGGGGGCTCCAGGCTGAGCCTGGGATAGGGGGTTGGGGTGCAAGAGGAGGTGCAAGCTCTGGGAGGGAGTTTGGATGCTCAAGGGGGCTATGGGCTGGGGTGCAGGCTCCAGGAGGGGGCTCAGGGCTGGGGGTTGGGATGTGGCGAGAGTGAGGTGTGGGCTCCGGCTGGGCAGCGCAGCAGACCTAAGGCAGGCTCCCTGCCTACCCTGACCCCGCGCCTCTACTGGAAGCAGTCAGCAAGTCCCTGTGGCCCCAGGCTTTGAGGGAGCAGGTGTGAACAACAGAGACTGCTGACCAAAGTGTTCCAATCTTTGGGGCATAGAGCACATGTGTACTTGACGTGGAACATATGTAGACAAGCACTCACAGTAGTAGTTCTGGCTTCAAAGAATCATCATTTTTCCAACAAAAAAAGTTTTGTTTGAGAAGTTCCCAACCAGCTCTACTCCACTGTTACAAATCCCAGGTTATAAGAATAAAATGTATCTATACAAATTCTATTGTACGGTCCTCTCCACTTATTTTATTTTCATTATGCAGGGTGGCACCATCTCCATTTTAAAGAATTCCCTTCCCCCATCTTGTAAAAGTAATATTCCTTCCAGTCTTGGAGGAAACTGGGTACCAAAAATTCAGACAGTCACTTCCTTGACAATAAGGCAAGAGGAAACAAAACACACCTATTCCAACTAAGTGAAGGTCCCAGCAGCCGATAGCTTCTGTAGACAGACATTAGGTTCTGGAGGGATACACAAACAAGTATCCACACACTGATTGCCTATGGGCCCCATGCTGAAAATCTAAAAATAAGAGTCATACCTTCATTCTCTCACTGTTGTTCAGCAATACATTCCTTAGCTCCTTAGAAACCATGTATAGCTGCCTCTTCTTTCCTTCTTGAGTTCGCGTTAATAAATTCATCTTGGGGAATGAAGGATCCAATGCATAAAACTTCCTGTGGTCATAATATTTATGTTTTGTTTGCCCAAGTTCAAGATTGAGTAAATGACAATTTATTGACTAACCTATTCCCCACAACCCCCTCCCGACTCAGCCACTTAATAGATGGTTTGGCTTGAGAATACATGAGGTTAATCCATGCACTCGATAGAATCAAAGCATTTTAGAAAATTCAGAGGAAAAAAAAATACATTTTAAAAATAAAGTTCAGTTGAAAATTTTCATGCTGAATGCCTTGCCTGCATTCTGAATATATTTCTAAGCTTAACTCAATTTTCATTCTTACTTGGCTATTTCCATGTAAAAGGAAGAGTTATAGTTTTGAGTATGTTCACTTCATCTTAAAATTGAGGAAGCTTGCTTTATGTATGAGCAATAATCTAGATTTTTTCCCCCCGAGCATTATACTAGACCTAGTCACCTGTGGAACTGATCGTGAATACTTTTGAAACCTTTATTACAGAATAAAATGACAGAATTTCTCCTTACTGGATGGGTGGAAATAATGGATCATCTTCAGAGAGGAACACAAACGGATCTTCTTTAAATCCAAACAGCTTCATTTTCTTAGATGGTGGTGGTCTAGAAGCAAATTCATGTAAATACTTTGTTAAACACTGCAGATTTACTCATTAGTCAATGCTTGTTCTGCAATTAGTAACAAAACGTACAAAACCAGGCATTGACATTTTCCCATACTTCACCTAGCATTCAATACTATTCTACAATTTTAATCACTGAAAACTCATAGATGGAGATGGCAGAAGAGAAATATACGGCAGCTGGAAGATGAGCAGAGGCTTATGGAGGGAGCAATTGTGAAGCACGCTGAGACATTTTCTCAGACACAAATGGGAAAGCAGGTGGGAGATAAGACAAAGAGAAGAGGATCAGGAGCAGCAACAGCTCAACTCTTGAAAGTAGTCCTGCCTCCTCAGTAGGGAAGGGAGAAATAATGGACTCTGAAGGAGCCAGAAGAGGCAACTGTTTCCATACTGCTATGATAGGAAATTGATGTAAGAAGCAGTTAGTGCAGATAGGAGGTTGATGTAGTGCGAGTGAAAAAAATCAAGCACTGAAGTGTATTAGATGTGATGTAAACCTTTGCTTGCACAGCTGGCACATTGAAATGAAGGGTTTAAAATACCCATAAAATGTTTTTGAAGGTATAAACAAAATCTATGATTCCATAAAATGCAGGTATCTTAATATAGACAATATAGAGTTGGGTGCTCTCATTTTTTACCTATCCATAATCAGTCTCATCACTTCACTACTGAAACCCTTTTCTCCTCCTCACTCTTTTATGCTTTCTTCCATGGTGCCTTCTATGCCTAAAACTCCATTCCTATCCCAGTGTACCACAGACCTACTCTCTTCATTTAAGTTCCTCTTTTAAACTCATTTCTTAAAAAGGACACAAATACCGAGCCATGTCTGCAAAAAACCATCATCACTCCACTATTAAAAAGGCATCCTAACTCAGCACCCTTCCCTCTGGGCTGCCCAGTTATTCAGACCAGTTCTTTGAGAATTCAGAGAGTAAGATAATCAAGACTGGAACTGCATCCTCCACTGAGTCTTGTACAGCAAACACACACATTGTCAGCAATGTGTTTGTAAGCTCTTTAAATGTCTTTAGCACCAATCTAAGGACAGGGCAAGGGAAAAGGGCAAAATTAAAGCAAATGATCATGTTATGGAAAGTGCGGTTTGTATTCTATTAGGTCCACTTTTTAAAATTAGACATACAATTTAAGAACTGAACAGAACTGGAGTTCTCCACTGAGCACGGGACTCGTGTTAGACACTCAGTTAGGAAGCAAGGACAGGACAGATGCTTAAATGTAGTCTCTTACCCACATACTCCATCTTTTTTGCTTTGCTCACTCTCTACATTTAGCAAGTGTTGAGTTTCCTTAGATTCTTCATCCTCAGCATCTGGTGGTTCTTCAACAATTTCTAAAGAGCCATCTTCTGTAGCAGGTGCACTCACTGAAACGTCTCCTGTTCTCTGTGATAACTTGCGCTGAAGCTATTCCAGATTATAATGAAGAAAAAGTTAGATACAACTGTTATAACAAAATGCCTACATTATCCCTAAAATGAACATATGCTCAGCTCTCACTAACATTTACATAAAATGTAATTGTATATAAATTGTAGATAAAGTAGCTCCCCAAAGGTCACGTTACCATCCATTCAAAGATACATGTACTGTATTTGGTCTCTATGCACCCCATTATAGCAGAGCGAGAACTCGGCTATAGTTAAGGTTAAGATCAGCTTTCCATTTAAACCTCAACTTTTCTAAGTCCTCTAAAGTCTACCCAGTTGTTCAAATTGCCTTGGAGGCGAGAGATACTGTTAGTGGCCAAAATTCTGGGCCATTTGTCAAGTTGTTGGAGTGTGTGTCTGTTTTGAGAAATGTAATCGGAGTACAGAAGGTACTGAAACTTTCTGGAAAAAAAAAATTTTCCCACAAGAATGCTTAGGGGGAGGGGAGAGGCAACTAGAGGTGCAAGAGTAGGTGGCAACAGGGGAAGAAGGGTTTGGGTCTCCATTAAGGGATGGGAAGAGGAAGGGGGGGGGGGGAAAGAGGACCTCCGGTAAAGTGGAGGGGGTAGAAATTAAGGAAAGTGGAAAAGGAGAACACAGGAGTGGTTGGAAAATATCAGGAATAGCAGAAACTGGAGGTAGGCAACTCTCCCCATTGGTGTGCATGCTAGGATATATGGAAGCCCTAACCCCTCGGCAGGGGGCTGATCCCCTCTACTTTCTCACTGAGTTTGAGGCTCTGGGGAGTTGGAATGAAGGTAACAAATTTAAAGACATGAAATCCAGAAAAGGAATAGTTAAAATATTCCCTGTGTGGGGTGTGGAGGCTGGTCAATCTGTTGGGAAGTGGTACAGTTTGGAGGAGGGGCAGGCTGGGTGCAGCTGGAGCATGGTGGCTGGAAAAGCCTGACTGAAGCAGGTGCAGCAGTCACAGCTGGAGGTTGGTAGTAGGAGTGAGGGGCCAGCTCAGCATGCAGCTCAGACTATATAACCAAGGTAGTGTGCAGCCCTTGAAACTGCAACTGCTAGGCCTGTGGTATGTGCATGCAGCAGCATAGGGCATGAGACAGCAAGAAGTAACTTTTTCCATGTTAATGGTTTCTACAGTGCCAACTAATGGCTTAATGGGATGGGAAGGGGTGCTGGACATTTTGATGGGGAAGGAGGTACACGTTGAGGGGAATGGTGAGGTGGAAGGCAGAAGGAGAGAGGAAGACACACCTGTCTTCTCTCACGCATTAAAAATTATAAAATAACAATATAATAAAACTGTCAAGGTTTTGAGACAGATCATAGATGAAATTTCTCTCACCAGCCCTGTTAGCAACTACACATTGCAAACATTTCAAAGTATGACCATTATCTCCATTCCATTGTAACAACATGTACAGAAGGGGGGACTGAACACTGAGGAATCACATAGCAGCCTAGTGAAGAAACCACTGGACTAAAACTATTTCTAGCTCTGCCACTGGCCTGCTGGGCAAGTCACTTCACCTCATCGTTCCACTTGATTCCCATGAGGAATATTCCCCTCTAAAGAGATGCAACATTGCAAGTTAAAGGGACACCAACTTGAAATCTTGTCAGTTTAAAAAAAAAAAAATAAGTTCTTTCAGTACAGTATCTGCCTTTCTATTTTACTGGGATTTCACAATCCCCTTTTCCTACTTGTAAAAGGGATTTACAGACTATGGAACCCTAAATACCTTAGGTCAGTGGTTCTCAAACTTTTGTACTGGTGACTCCTATGACATAGCAAGCCTCTGAGTGCAACCCCCCCCCTTATAAATTAAAAAGGCTTTTAAATATATTTAACACCATTATAAATGCTGGAAGCAAAGCAGGGCTTGGGGTGGAAGTGGACAGCTTGCGACCCCCCCATGTAATAACCTTGTGACCCCCTGAGGGGTCCCAACCCCCAGTTTAAGAATCCCTGCCTTAGGTTTTTTTGAAAACCTGCTTCTAAATGTTTTCCTTTACCTTCTTGCTGTGTGAAAGGCCCACACAAACAAAAGGGAATTGACAAGCTAGCTGACTACACAAAACAAACAGACAAAACAGAAAAATGATTTTAATTTCTTTCAGTTATAGCAATCTTAGGTATTATTTCTAACAAAGAAATTCAGATAGAACGATTTTTCAGTTGATGATATACCTTTAATATACCACATTCCCAATTTTTTATTTAATATTTATGTAACTATATTTATTTATTTAACAATAATCCTGTAAAGCAAAGTGTTTATCAGTATGAAAAGTATTTATACATCTTGGAAAGGTCATTCTAGCATTGAATCAAGTTCTGGAGTTTTCATGGAATGTTTTTGCAAATAAGTTCCACACTGGAAGGGCCACCACATGAGTTTAATATACAACTAGAAAAAGTTAAGATTTCATATAAATACATACTTTGTTTCCATAAAATAAAAAAAACTGAACTTTTGCAGTGTTTAAAAAAATACTTCACGGATGGGCATGAAAGACAACTACCTTTACTAACTGTGATTTTTCCAATAATACTCTAAATAGTTTATGAAAGCTTCCAAAACACAATATATGCTGTCATCACTGCTCTTTAAAAAGGAACATTACCTTAGATTGGCGTTTATTCCATGGCATTGACGATTTTTTTATTAATACAGCCACAAAGAAACCTCCAGTGTTCTGGTGATGTGGCAATATTCTAATGCTGGAGAGGGAAAAAAGTACTTCATGGTCAATACCAGCAATCAGATTTTTATGAAATACTGAAAGAAACATGATCACATTTACTTTAGTGTAAATTATGTATCTGTTAAAATTAGGAAGATGAAATCATTAAGTTAGAAACAGAGTCTAAATGAAATATTCTAGCTTCCTATAGTGAATTGCATCAGTTGTAAAATATCCTTAGTTTTATATTTGACTAAACTTTAGCGTTGATAAAATGAGAATTTTAAATGCTTGATTTTTTTTTTTTTAAAGATTATTCACTACGAAAGGCTTTCCAATTTGCACACAACTGGTTATTTAACTGCACTACTATTTTAATCAAGAGATCTAACAATAATACCTAGCTGTTACATAGCACTTTTCATGCCCTGTATACACTTGTAGTAATTCTGTCAAATTGTAAATGAAGCCAGAATTTGTCCTTATGTTGTCATCAAGTAGTACAATCTTCCTTGAAATCAACCTATAATTATCTCTTACTGCCTTATGTATTTTTAGGGTTCTAATCATAGTATCCAGTTACCAATGCTTATAATGAATACCGCATCCTAGCCACTTAAAAGTTTAGTTCTAGCGCACAATTCATTCCTAAAACTGAACTGCCAGTTACCACAAGGTATCTTCACATCACCATAAAAGCTAAACCTCAAAAATTCCCTATCACTTTAAGCCACTCTGGGAAAACTTACCAACGCTCCAGGTTCATTGCTTTTAGTTTTTCTTCATCTTTTATTGGGAACATGGTGGGCCGAATTTGGGTCTGCCTGTTAGAAGGCACGTCCTTCCAGGATTCAAACCACTGTCCATCTTTTAGCATTACCTGCATGGAAAATGGGATAATGTCATTTCAGCCTGCAATTTTGCATCACGTAACAATACGGTGACCAGGTGTCCAGTTTTGGATCGGAACGCCTGGTCAAAAAGGGATCCTGGCAGCTCCAGTCAGCACCGCTGACCGTGCCATTGACTGTCCAGTTGGCGCTGCCGCCGCGCCGCATAGTGGGGCTGGCAGACTCCCTGCTAGCCTCTGTGCCATGCGGCTCCCAGGTTGGGAAGAAGCCAGCATGTCCAGCTCCTAGCCTTAGGGGCAGTCAGCGAGGTTCACGTGCTTCCCCGCCCGCAGCTCCTACTGGCTGGGTCACGGCACGGGAGGAACTAGTGCAAGTGTGACTCGAGAGCGCTCAGCATGCGGCTGTTGAGGGGGTACATGGCATGCCCCTCTCCCACTGCTGCCCGGCCCCCTTCTCCTCGTCTCTCCCCCCCGTGCCAGCACCCAAGAGTTTGAGGTATGTGTATCCCTATCTCCGAGTGCTGGGAATGGGGCTGCACCCCAACCCCCTTCACTGCATCCCTTCCCATTCTAATCCTCCTGCACCCCCATTCCCTGCCATTGCATCCCTCCCCATCCCAACCCCCACACCCCCCCATCACTGCATCCCAACCCCCCGCTCTCCTTACTGCATACCTCCCCATCCCATCCTACCACCCACAACTACCCACCCCAGCCCTGTGCTCCTTACAGCGCTCTCCAACCCATCCTCTCCAGCTCCCAGAGCCGCCACCCCTATGTCCTTCACCGCCCTGTACACTATTTACCTCCATATACTGCTGCACTCCCATTATGTCCCTATACACCCTTGTGCCCCCCACATCCTCATGCACCTATAGCCTTCTGATTCCCCCTGCATCTCCCTCCACCCCACATACCCCCACACACCTCCTCCTCTCTCCCCTTCACTGCCTCCTCTCACTCCTACCCTGTTCTTGTCCTTCGCCTCTTTCCCTCCCAATCCTCTCTCCTCCATCCCCACCCCACCCCCATCTTTTCCCCTCCAGCCCACTCTCCTCCCTTCCCGGCTAGGTGATTTAGGCAGCCCCTGAAAAAGTGTATGAAAAAGTTTCTGTGTAGGCAAGTGTGTGCATGCATGCATTGTATGTGTGTAAGAGACCGTGTGTTTTTTTTGTAGGAAGGTGTGTGTATTGCCACATGTGTATATACCTGTGTGAATAAAATTTGCAGCCTAACTGACTTTTATTCCTTTTGCTGGCTTGCGCAAAAAAATTGATGGCATAAAATGTGTATTCATTTCATAGCAAGTTTTTAAGAGAAGGGAATTCTAAAAGAAACGTATTATTTCTTAAAAATGAATGCTGTTGACTAGTAATTGCAGAAGAGTCAATGTATCCTACATTTCTCCCTACCTTTGCCTAGCTACATTATAAACTCTTTGTTGCAGACTCTCTCTTTTTATGTGTATGTCCAGCACTTACCACCCTGGAGCCCTGAACTTAGCTGGGGTCTCTAGGCATTAAGCAACAATTATAATATTAAATAATGTGGAAGTATGTGTTTTAGTGCATGCTAGAGGTGTACACATGAATACACGTGTGTACCTGCATGTAGGTGTGGGTGTCAGTTTCTACAGATTTATTTATATAGGTATCTGGACAGGTGTGTATTTCTGTGGTTGTGCTCTATGGATTTGTATTTGGGCTTCAGGAGTGGGCCTTTAATGGACCCATTGTAGCTATGATAATGTGTGGTCCTAATTCCATACATAAAATTAAAATAACTTTAGTAGGGCACTCATTGAAGGGGAAAAAACCCCAACCACTATACTGCACTTAACACTAAGATAACTACTAACGATATTAACAAAGGGAACTATTTACAACTATAAGAGAATGCTAGGCAGTAGTGGGGAACTTGCTAGCAAGAGACCACTGTTCCAACAACCGTCATGGGCGGTAAGAAGGAACTGAAGGGAGGTTGGGCCGGCAGGGTCTTATATCGGCGCCACTCCAGGGGGCTCCACAGCCAGCCCAACGGGTAGCTGCTAGGAAAAAAGTTTTCTGACTTCCGTGCACGCGCACACACCTAACTGGAATTGATATGAGCAAGCACTCGCAGAACATGCAGCTGGTTATGAAAAATGGGAAGCGGGGAGGGAAAGAATCATGAACATCTTTGTGAAATTTCATTTTTTTTTTAAATTACCCTTTTTGACTTATTTGGCTGCCAGCTCTAGTGTCCTGTAACAAATAAAACTTGAACTTCATACATCTGTCAAAACAATAAATATGCCTGTTTGGGCCTTGCAGTGAAAATGAGCAAGAGAGAGTGGGGAAGATCAAGCAACGGAGGGAGGGGAGGGGCAGTGGGCGGGGCAAGGGTGTTCGGTTTTCTAGAATTAGGAAGTTGGCAACCCTATGTAACAACTAAACGGCTGTATCAAGATTACTAGTGCCAGCAGTTCATTTAGGAATAAAATTTGATGTTAATTTACTTGTTAACAAATACAGATGGAACACAAAAAAATAATGCAGGTTGAAAAACTAACCACATAAAAAAAGGTGGGAAATTCAAAATTCCTGTAGGAACCTTAACTTGGTAATATTAGTCTGAGTATATTTATACGGGACACATTTACCAAGAAAAAAAAATCATTACATATGTGCAAGGATATCAAGTCAACATTTCTGTAAGAATGGTAACATTTTCCTGACTTGTATGATTAATTTAATCTCTTATCATATTAATATACGTTTAAGACAAAAAAGGAGTAGCTCTATTCTGCTGAATTAACTGCATACTTCCACATTTGGACAATATCAAAAGTATACAGTTGTGGAACTCCAATGAAGCAACAGCATGAAACCACAACTGCTCGTACAATACGGTTTTATATTACTCTGTTATCACATACAACATAATAATGAAGGGTTTTTGTAATAAATTTCATTCACTTATACTTTAAGAATTGTCAAGACTAGCACATGAAGTTGCAACTTCTAAAATTCAGCCATTTTTGAATTAGCCTTGTACAAAACCTGTTTTTCATGAAGATGTACTTTATACAAATTACTGGACTCAATGTAGGGGTAATCTGGTGAAATTCTAGAGAGTGTTATACAGGTAGTCAGAGTGGATTGATCTATTGGTCCGTTCCAGTCTTAAAATCTATGAAAACATACATCACAACAGGTTCTTATTCTCTGGTCCATAGCCCATGGACAAGATGGGGTCTCCTTCAGCATGATGTTCTGACATACAGTCAGAAAGGAAACAGCCATGGAAGTACCAAGGAAAGCCTACATAACTCAGCAGAAAAAGCATAAGGTGACCTCTGCTGAATCTCACAACTTTGACCTGAGAGAGTTCTATCCATATTGGTGTGTTGGAATTGTAATAGGCATATTTGAATAAGATATGTTCTCCTCCCCCACATCATGATCAGCTAACTTAAAAGCCACCATAAAGACTGTAGTTTTAAAGGAAGCTAGTTACACCTTTGGACAAACCCGAGCATTAAAAGTTTCAGTGGTAAAGATTTATTTAACAAAATTATGTGCAATGAAAGCCAGGAATTTAAAGAGTCTTGCACTTAATCTTTACTGCTGTTTTCACTATCCACAAATGCACTAAAATAAGGCTTAACGTACATTCTCAAGTAGAAGACATGGGTTCGAGACAAGTGAATCTGCCAATATTTCTCTGCATACTGTTCGTGCATTATTTTGAATACACATCTTAATGTTATGGGGAAGATTTCTATCTTGAGATCAATTTTTAGCATAAACATTCACAGAAATGCAGTACATCAGTTAACATTCTTTCTGGATATTTTGCATCTCGACTGAAGCAGTGTGTGTGTGTAAACCCTATCTTTTTGCTTATTTAAAAAGTAAAGTATGATTCCCACTCAAGGAAAAGCAAAATCTTTTCACTTTGTGCTTTGCTATTTGTGTACAACTATGGATGCTACTTGAACCCCTTTCCATTTATGGTAAAGTTGGAGATGCAACCTAAATAACTAGAATCACGCTCCCAAACCACCATTCTATCCATAAATACATTTCATCGGCCAGGATCCTCTGAGGTAAATACTAAAGCAAGATCTGTTTGTTTTATAAATTTGGCATCCTACGTTACCTCTGTTTTCCTTTCTTTTAGCTTCATCTCTACTTGCAGGCAGGTCTATTTTGCAAATGACTCTGCAGACAGATTCTATTTCATGGCGAAGCTTCGAAAAGTGTGTACTTAAATTGTAAATGCAAAACACAAGATTCCAAATTGCATATGCCATTAACCATTTTGCATTTACTACACAGGTACACATTTTAAGGCTCAGCCTTCAGCGTCAGAAGGGTCAGGAAACTTAAAGCAACCTTCTACGTTTGTTTTCTGCTGAAAGAATACAGGCAATCCTTGGATTTACAACACAATTGGCTCCTGAAAATTACGTCGTAAGTAAAAAGTCGTAACTCGGAACCACAATCCACTCCATTGCAGGACCAAGCATCGTAAAGTCGAAACCAATTGTTGCAAGCCAGATCAGGGTGTCAATTCAGAAATGTTGTAAGTGCCGTTCGTCCTAAGTCGAATGTCGTAAAGTCGAGGACTCCTTGTATTTCAAGAAGTCTGAAGGACCTGTCCACTTCTTGACCCTTTTTCGCATCCAGCTCAGCTACAGAGCCTCAGGGATGGATGACTGGCTGGAGCATCCCAGCAGCTAAAAAAGGATGGGAAAGAAGCCAGGTGGCTTCCTCTTTTGACAGATTATAAAACTTTTCATGCCTAAAGGTAAGAGACAACTTAAAGTGGATCGGACAGGATTATCAACAAAAAGGGAGATAGAACTGCCTGAAATGAAGTAAAAGCAAAATTAAGAAACATGATGGTGATTTTTTCCCCCCGGGAGACTGTATTAGTGGAGCCTCAAAGATTTGTAGAGTGTACTCTAGCTGGGGAGTATTAAAAACTTTGGTGGCATATTTATTGCTATCATTTAACTTCTTCCAGTTTTATTAGCTTAGGCCAATACCTCAATTTTAGAGCTTTTTGAGTTAGTTCCTGCCTGATTTTACACCCAAAGCTGTAAGGTCTGGGGCCTTTTTCTGCAATAAAAGCAGCAGCAAGAGTGAGAAACAGCAGACATGAGCTAAATCATATTCTCCCGTTGCATCTAAATTGCATCAAAAACAACGTAATACCAGGATGTTAGGCCGGCACTCCTGTCCTAATAGTACTCACCATCTCCAGATAAAGAAACCAAGGGTAAGATGTTTAAAGAAAACTTTGTTTGATATTTTGTCTGGCAAGGAACCACTTAACAGTTGTGATTGTGAAATCTATACTTCACTATTGTTTGGCCTTTATGGTCCCTACTTCTCTACTGTTTATCTGTATGGTCTGTCTGATTCTTTGGTGCATAACTAATTTCACAAGATTTAAATGAACTAAGATGGTGGGGTCTAACTGGTTCAAGAATTGTTTCTTAATGTGCTAGGATTGGTTAAAGAATGGTTTCATAATGGGCTAGGATTGGTGAAAAACACTGTTTTGTAGTACTTTAGTTTAAAATTATTGGCTAAGGTATAGCTAGGTAGAAACCAAGTTTTAACTATATACATTGGGGTCCAAAGGGACGTTCTTTGGAACCTAACTCCAGGGGACAGCCCAAGATCAGAGCTGTCAGATCTTAACAACCTGTGGACCATACCATGCAGAAACTAGAGCTCTGGACAATCTAATCTTGACTGGCCATCAAGAAAAGTTCATCTGCCTTATTGGGAGTGGTGAGCATTGTATGCTTAGAGTGTTTATTCTGTTTTGGTAACTGTTACTAAATAGAGGTTAAGGATATTACTGTGTAAGACTCTTTCACTGTTAAAAGGCCCCGCAGAGCCCTGAGTCCACTGAGGAGTAGAGCCCAGAGCCCACAGAGGGGTAAAGTTGGGTCCCTTACTTCCTAAGTACCCAAAAGAGAGGGTAGGGAGCTGAGAGCCCTAAATTGTGCAGGTAACAAAGCATGCATCAAGACTGGGACTATGGTATATATCTTTACAGAAATATCTTCCAAATACCTTCCATTGTGTAATCCCTGGCATCCACTTCAAGCCTGGCAACTCAGAAGAGACATCAGCAAGTTCTAAGGCACCTAGAAAGCCAAATATGCAAAATCAAATAAGTGTTCTTGAAAATATAAACTTCAGGGAAATTGTTTAGACGTGTACTTCTATGTAACCTTTCAAAACATGGATTTCTATAAAATTATACACCATGTTGGATAAGATAGAGATACTTATTTTGAAATACATTTTGTACTTCAAGATAACAAAGATAAGAAATTACACATAATTATGAACAGATTTTTAAAAGTCCAATAAGAACTTTAAAGAAGTTTGACAACAGATGAAAGTAAAGGATAAAAAGACAATACTACACAACACTGGCTGTCAAAAATGACTTTATAATTAAATAAAATGCCCATTTTCAACCCTGATAGATTTAAAGCCTGACGCCTCATAACCTAACAGTCCCTCAACAAAATACTATTTCCAGTATTTAACTCATTACTTGGTAAAATGCTTCAAGATGTCCTGAACATGAACAAAATTACATTTTCTATTATTCCTTTAAGTATACTTGAATCATTACCCATTTAAAAAAAAAAAAAATCTCACACTACTGTTTTTATTATTATTAAATTGCTGCAACTCAGGATTGCTATAAATGAAAGAACAGAGAAAGGTCTTTTTTTAACTGATTTTCAATTTACTTGCTTTGTGCATTTTATAGTACTTTGTCAGTTTACTCCCCTTTGTCAACCAAGCAGTCACCTCTCTTATTTGCACAGGTATTCTAAACAATAATAAAAAAGTAAAAATCTTAAAATAGAAAAACATAATTGTAAACCTCCCAGATTGGCATGGGGTGTCATTTTTCAAAGCTGACTCAATTTGAAGTTAGTCACAAATGTTAAAAAGTCTCCATGTACAGTAAAACCCCTTGATTTGAACTTCAGTAAAAAGACAGACATTCAAAACCACTGGAAATAATTTGCAAGTGTGCAGTTAGCTGATTCAGTCAGAAAAGAAATGTTTGCTTGGGGTGGGTCTAGTGTGGATAACAACATAGGTTATAAAAAACTTCATGTTAAAGTCTAGAAATACCTTTACAGATGGGATGAAACTGAGGTGGGATAAAAACCAGAGATGTTAAGTGATTTAGTCAAGGACACAAAGGATGTCAGCAGACTCAGGAATAGAATCCAGGCCTCATAACTCTCAGCCTCATCGGTTGGCGGCTCGTCCATGGAGCCGTGAGCACGGGCGTGTACCTGGCGCGCTTCACCCGTTCCTGAGACCTGCCCATTCTGCGGCGTGAGGGAGACCCTGGCGCACGCCTACCTCGAGTGCGCCAGGTTGCAGCCCCTGTTCCGGCTCCTCCAGAACCTCTTGTTGAGGTTTTGGGTGCACTTTTCCCCACACTTGTTCATTTACGCACACCCTATCCGTGGCCCCACGAAGTCGCAAGACCTCCTCGTCAACCTCCTCCTGGCTTTAGCCAAACTCACCATCTACAATACCAGGGAGAGGATGTTGGACGAGGGAGTGCTCTGCAACTGTGGTGCCTATTTCCGTACCTCCCTGGTCTCACGTCTCCGGGCAGAGTTCCACTGGGCAGCATCCGCTGGCTCCCTTGACACCTTTGAGGAGCAGTGGGCGCTGTCCGGGGTTCTCTGCTCAGTATCCCCATTCGGCACCCTGATTTTGAACCTTTGACCATCACTCCACTCCACTCCATTTTTTCATTAGTTGTCTCCAGAGATTAGTTGGTTCCTGGGTCCAGTGGTCCCTCCCACTAGGCTGGGGGAGGGGCTTTTAGAAGTGGGCGGGCGCAATAAGGACTCACTACAGGGAGGGATCAGTCAGCTGTGGCTGGAGCTCTCCCTCCTCCTCCTCCTCTTCTCCTGGGCCGCTGCTGGCTGGAGCTCCCACCCATTTCCTGGGCTGCTGCCTGCTGGAGTCTCCCTCCCTGGACTACCACTGCTGCTGTTGGTGCTGCTGAGTGGCTGAGTGGGGTGGAGGGGGGGGGCCTTGCCGGCCTGCCCCCCGCCCCTGGAGGGAGTAGCACGGGCCCCAACACCACCCAGGGGTCCTCCCTGCCTGCCTAGCTGGCTGACCGCTGCTGCTGTGTTGGAGCTACTGCCACCATCGAGAAGAAGAGAGGATTCCTACTGCGGGACATGGGGGGGGGGGGGGGGGGTGGGTGTTTGTGGACTGAGTGACTTTGACCATCTCTGCTCCTGGGGTGGTGGTGACTCCTGTTGCTGTTGAAGGGAGCAAGGGGGTGGGGCGCGGAGCCCTCCCCCCGTCCATCTGCTCCTCCTCTGCTACCGCCCCCACCGCCACCCCCTCCACCGCCCCACGTACCACCTGGATCGGCTCTTCGCCCCTTGACAGGGCTGTTGTTTTCCCCCGTTTACCATCCGGGACTGTTTGTTTGCAGCAGTGAGCAGCAAGGACTGAGCTACACAAGCGCCTGTGGGCACACCTACCTTCCCACCTTGGACTTATCCTGCCCCCCCCCCCCCAACTGCGTTTGGCTGGTGGGGTCCCCTCCCTATGGTCCCCTGGTGTTAGCTGGCCTTCCCCTGCCCCGCCTGTTACCTGCTTTGAGCCTCTCTGTTAGTTTGTTTGCCCCGCCCTAGCCCTTCAGCATTTGTTACCTGCCCTGCCCCAAACTTTAGCTTTGGTTAGGTTGCTTGCCCCGCTCTTGCCCTTGTAGTTTCCCCCCTGGACTTTGCCCGCCCCCTTGGTTTTTCCTTTTGCCCTCCCTTCCCCCGCTCCTGGTTCGGTGTATTTTGCCTGTGCGTCCATGCTCCCCCCATAAGCGCTTGTGCCCCTTTTCGGTTACCCTCCTTGCACTGTTCACAGCCTTCCCACTGATGTTGTAGTCCCTCCCCCGCCAGTGCAGCCGGAGGAGCCGGCATCCCTCTCTAGCACCTGTGCCCCCTTTTCACCCCTGTGTGCCTCAAAAAAATTTTTTTTTTTTTAAAAACTCTCAGTCCCCAGACAGAAGCCACTAGAACACAGTTGCCCATGAGCTAGTGTCATTTCCTGATATTTGGTAACATCCCTCAAACAGGCCTAGGCTACTTACTACCAACTACTGCTGCATCTGATCCTCCTCCCACCCTGGTGGTGGGGGAAAATATGGGGCGAAAATTACTTTCCCCACAACTCTGCTGTTTAAGCAAGCTACTGCCCCAATTCTGATCTCTTTCACAGCAGTCTGAGACACTGCTGCCAATCGTGCTACCTACTGCCGAGCTTAACTTGGCCACAAGTTCCATCCACCAGAAGCAGACAGTGGCATCCAACTTTAAGGTGGAGCTCTATTTGGAGACTTGGTTATGTTAAAATGGCACATTCTTACTCAACAGTTGTGCTCCATGTATGCTTGCTACAGTGACAAAAATAAATGTTTACTACTTTTTACTCCTGTTGATGCTACCGAGGCAACACAGCTGAGTCTGAATGAGTCTTTGGTACATCATTTACAGAACTGTTTTAAGATCCAACAGTTACAGCTATAAAATCTACCAATGCTGATAGGGTGTTGCAGGAGACCTCATTTGGTCTAGAGAACTTTTATTACAGCTGTCGATATAAGAGGAGAAAATAAGGCAGCTTCCCTCCCATTCACCCACTGGGAGTTTCTCATCTATACTGCACTCATCCCTGGCATTCTAATCTTCACATCTCCCCCCTATTATTGTGAATCAATAAGATTTTAATGTATTGTTCAGTAAATATTCAGCCAAGATCTCATTTTCTCACCTTCACTTTTTTCCAGCAGGGATGCAATCACAGCTTCATTTTCAACAGGATTCAGTGAACATGTCGAATAGACCATCCTACCTCCTTCTGCCAGTTGTTCTACACCCCGGGTTGCAATCCTTAACTGCAATCTAAAAGAAAAGTGTTTGTCCAAACCATTCAGCAAGACTCCCATTATCCCTTATTCAAAACACCCTGTTACAGATGAAGCTTACTTTAAACCTCAGGGAAAACTTCATTACAGACATTCTAGCTATATTAAATCAGGCATTAAAACAGGACACAACGTTTAAACAAGGAGCTTAATTTCCTCATGCCTCTATTGAATGTGCCTATTACCATAGTATCTGAATGCAGGCAATTTATCTTGGCCACTACCCCTCTCTGGCCCAGGAATTCTAGCATTAAAATCAACAGTATGAGAAGCACTGCCAGCAGAACACACTTTGGTTAGTGTTGTACTAGAAAGACATATCACACAATACAATAACCTGGACGACGATGTCCATCCACAATACAACTCTGCCCCTAAAATAAACCTTGTAAACTAAACTAATAGAATACTACCGTTTCAAATACACTTCCTTAGGTATACTAAACAAACACTGTTAAATTTTAAAGAACTTAGTCAATGAAGCTATTTTTCCAAAAACCTCACCAAAAAATTTCTATGGATTGCAACAATTTGCAGTGTTGAAAAGCAGCATATATAAATCTGTTCAACAAAAAGATAATACAATGTTTACATATCAAACCATATCTAAATTGAGAGGTGTAGTAAAATTAAATAATTTTAGGTTTTAAAATGAGATTTCTAAAATCTTATTTTTCTAAAAAAAAACCCACATCAATTTACAAAAATGTGATTAACTTAATTCCAGAATTCACATAAACCCTCTACCACCAAATTACAGTATTAAACTAACAGCCATGTTTGATGCATTACAATAGCCAACAAACCAAGTTGTTTATTTGTCAAACAAGGCCAGGGCCAATCTTTTATTCATATTCATCAGAGATAACAATACAGGGATTTCACCAATATTCATATTTTATTTTACATTAGACTTTTGGTGTACAAAGTGGACACTGCCATTTTAGGCTTGTACGGTCTTCCCTGCAGCTCCTGCCACCCGCCTCCTATTCAACTAGTTGGCTCACTACCATTACTGTGCCCTCACTGCTAGCAACCCCCTCCCAATGGATTCCCTGCCTTTGCATTAGTTATTTGTAGGGCCCTACAAATTCATTTTGATCAATTTCAGTTATACCATTTTTTAAAGCCAATTTCAGTTTCAGATGTTTACATCTGAAATTTCATGGTGTTGTAAATGTGGGGGTCACGACCCAAAAGGGGAGTGTAGGGAGTTGCAAAGCTAGTGTGTGTGTGTGGTGGTGGGTTGAGGGGGTTAGGGGGTATTGCAGGATTGCCACCCTTACTTCTGTGTTGCTGCTGGCAGGGATGCTGCCTTCAGAGCCCAGCACAGCCATGGAGGTTCCTGGGGGTTTGATCCAGCCCCAGAGTGGCCCCTGCAGGGGAAGAAGGAGTCACATCCTTCCCTAGCCCCACTGGGACTAACAGTTGGAGTCCAGTGCACTGTAGGAATCCCCCGCTGGGACACAGACAGCCCTGCCCTTCCCCTATAATAGCCAGATATCACAGGGGAGATCAGATTTCACAGTTCACTATGTGTTTTTCATGGTTGTGAATTTGCAAGGGCTCTAGTTATTTTGGTATTCATAAAAACCAAAAATAATAGGGATGCTGCCCTATCCTTAATGTAGACTGATCCCACATTTGGATGATTATCACCTTCTCAGAAGAAAGTACAAGGAAATTAGCTGTTTGTGGGGGAAGGGAAAGGTGGCAACATTTCATAATTTCTATTTGTAAAACTGTTACACTGATGACATTTGCTGCAAACATATACAGGAATTATAATATGCACTTTTACCCATGTAGCTGTAAGCTATTTTGTGTTGTCCATTTTTTCCACACATCAATGTTTTTTCTCATAGTTCCATCTCCACTGCAATAGAAGTTTACATGTTAATTCACAAATAAAATTTTTTTATGATCTACATTTAACTCTATGCTGAAAAAATAAGTAAATCCAAAAATGGTGTTTTAACCCATGAGGAAACGATCCATTTTGATACTAACCACAGGGGATTCATTTTAAGAGGATGCTAAACCCTCAGCAGATCTTGTCTCAGCCTCTAATATCAGCCAACTGTGAGACAAGGGAACAATAATCTGTCTCAGTTATCACCCGGAATTCCCACTAAAAACTGGAACAGTGTGTTTTGGTAGCAATCAAGTTAGACATAGATTTCTCCCTTTTCTAATTATTTCTTTAGGGATTAAAGGCAGTCAGAAGATAAGAAAATTGTGGAATAACTATTTACAGGCAAAAAATTCATTTTTTAAAAAACAAATTAAGTTTTCAAAGTTAATAGTCAAAACACGATACAGAGGAAAAAAAACACAACAACAAAAAACCCCACACATCACTAAACAAGTACTTTCTTCGTTATTATTGCAATAGTGCCCAGTCAGGATTACAACCCCATTTTTGCTAGGCACTAAACATATGTAGGAATTCCAATCCTGAACTGAAAAATGTACCATCTAATTTGATTCATATGCTGCTAGATATCATCTTACCCCAGTTACTCACTTCAACACATTCCTTGTAAGCTACCAGACCCAAGAGCAGTACTCTGACTCCTACCTCTAAGTTAGGATAAACTGGATCTTCCATCTTGATCCAGTTATTTAGCTCCAAAGTCTCAGAGACTATGCAATCCATCTCTAATCTGAGTGGATTTCCAGCACCAGACTAGTTTTACCAGTTGAGAATCAATCAAGAGATGCGTTCTGAAAGCCCAATAGGCAACAAAACCTTGTTTCACCCACTGAAATTAATTTCACATACCTAACGTGTAAAATCCCAGCCCCAAGTAAGTAAATTAAAAAAACTGCCATTGACTTCAATGATGCTAGGACTTCACTCCTTATTTTAATATAAAATAAAATGTGAGAGGTATTCAAAGAGTTAATATTTTTTGCTTAAATTAACTTATTTCAGACTATGCGTTGAGGTTTAACAAAAATGTGACATCATTTACAAAAGTTGGAACTTCATATTGCTATATCACTAGGCTCAAGTAAATTCCTGACAAATGCTTCTTCACGACAAGTAGTCTCTTCACTAAAAGAACTCCATTTTCAAGAGGATTAACGAAGTTAAAAGTTAAAAAGAGAAAGTAAAGTAAGTACCATGAAAGTGTCTTGGTTTACTCAGACAAAATGGCTACCATACAGTTCTGGAAGCTGATAATGTCAAACAGTACACTGGAAATGAGGTAAAAAGAACAGGAGTACTTGTGGCACCTTAGAGACTTGGTACTCCTGTTCCTTTTGTGGATACAGACTAACACAGCTGCTACTCTGAAACCTGGAAATGAGGTGTACATTTTTCACAGTGAGGGTAATTAACCACTGGAACAATTTATCAAGAGTCATGGTAGGTTCCTTGTAACCAAAAAAGTGAGAACAAATCATACAGCAGATGGTGATGTGAAAATTGTAGTCTCCATCCCAGTTCCAGTGGACAATAATCCACACAATAAGAAATAACATCTCATCTGTTATTCTTGTTGATACTCTCAATAGAAACATCTAGGCCACTACATACAGAGTCTATACTGCCCCGCCTCGTCCCCCTCCCCAGCTTTTTACAACAGAACCAAAGCACACAAGTTGCTTTAAAAGCTTTAAGATGCTGCTGTTCATACTAAAGGACTTCTTTCCAGACTAAAAAAAAAAAGTTTTTTTTTTTTAATTTAAAGATGCACAATCATAAATATGTGAATGTTCATTAACATACGATACAGGGTAAGGGCACATAAAAAGCTGCTTATTGTAGTGACGTTGATTTTTTTCAAGTTCATTTTTAGGTGAGGAGAACTTTAAATTGAAGCTGCTCCTGCAACTTTTCTCCTTCCCAAGCAGTCAATTAGAGTCAGCGCTACACAGGAAGGCTCTAAGCTATGGCCAGTTAGCCCCAGACACTAATTGGATAAAGAACTGCATTGAGGTCCTGTTCAACTGGCCAGACTTTTCTTCTATACCCCTCTCTCACACAGTGCTGAAGGTGGTGGGGCTTAAAGCCACTCATTTGTCTCATTCTCCATTCACTAAGTGGGATGAGCGGTATACCTGCCCACCACCCATAATGAGCACAAATGAATCCTTACTCTTCAATGTGCATCATCAGCAAAAATAAGAGTGAACATAACTTGAAAGGAAAAGTGGCTTGAGTGCCTACAGAACAACTATGAGGACACCAGAGAGAAGACAAAAGGGGAAGGGAGCAAGAGGAAGAGAGGATCAAAGGGGAGTAACAGGGACAATAAAATTCCAAAAAACAGGGAACAGAAAATACATACAGAAGATTGAACAATCACAGAATAAGAATCCTCCCTCAGTTTTTAGCTTCCAATCCAATTAACTATCAATTGATTTAATAATACAAAAGTAGCTAAACAACAATGGCTCATCTTTCCCTGACCAAGCTATTGGAATCTTTTAGTGCGAGAGGATGCTGACATAGCAGACAGGAGTGATCCTACTCAAAGATGATTAAAGAATACTTCGCGGGGGGCGGGGTGGAGAAACCTGTGAAAACAGCACCTTCTAACTCAAAGTATTCAGAGTCATATCTGTTCACATTACTCATTAAACTAATTTTTACTTTTAAATCCAATTTACTCTTCAAGCACCAATCCAACTCTGAGAGAACTATCTGGATTCTACTCTGGCTCATGCATTACCAACAGAATTCTTAAATGCACATTAACTTATATTTGTGCAAAAATTTACATTTTAGTAAAAAAAAAAAAAAAAAGCAAGCTTTTAGAAAATCTACAAAAAATAATGTTTCCAGATTTTTACAGTCTTAAAAACATTCCCTTGCAGTATTTGAAAGAAACACTGCAGCGCTAGGAACCTGAAATTAGTGATCATAAACAAATGAAAGTGACTTTACTGATTTTCATTATCCAAGAAATGCAAAAAATAAACAAGAGCAACTACCCTGAATTATTAAAAATGTTTCCTTTTAGTAGGCAAAGATGATAGCAATATAGGGAAAATAACGTATGTATTTTTATTGACTGCATCCTTTCGAATTCCATTTAAGTTTCCCTTAACTTTCTTTTTTCTTGTTGATGCATGAACTAGGAAGAATTTGGACTTTCAGATTCCAAGCTAAATTTTCAGACAGTTTTGGGGGCAAGTTTTACTTGTAAATTGGGTAGATTTGATATAGAAGTGATTGAGACAATAACTAGGAATCCTACAATGACATTTTAGAGAGAGGTATCAGAGGGGTAGCCGTGTTAGTCTGAATCTGTAAAAAGCAACAGAGGGTCCTGTGGCACCTTTAAGACTAACAAAGTATTGGAGCTTAAGCTTTCGTGGGTGAATGCCCACTTCATCAGACGCAAGTAATGGAAATTTCCAGAGGCAGGTATAAATCAGTATGGAGATAACGAGGTTAGTTCAATCAGGGAGGGTGAGGTGCTCTGCTAGCAGTTGAGGTGTGAACACCAAGGGAGGAGAAACTGCTTCTATAGTTGGATAGCCATTCACAGTCTTTGTTTAATCCTGAGCTGATGGTGTCAAATTTGCAAATGAACTGGAGCTCAGCAGTTTCTCTTTGGAGTCTGGTCCTGAAGTTTTTTTGCTGTAAGATGGCTACCTTTACATTTGCTATTGTGTGGCCAGGGAGGTTGAAGTGTTCTCCTACAGGTTTTTGTGTATTGCCATTCCTGATATCTGACTTGTCCATTTATCCTCTTGCATAGTGACTATCCAGTTTGGCCAATGTACATAGCAGAGGGGCATTGCTGGCACATGATGGCATATATAACATTGGTGGACGTGCAGGTGAATGAACCAGTGATATTGTAGCTGATCTGGTTAGGTCCTGTGATGGTGTTGCTGGTGTAGATATGTGGGCAGAGTTGGCATTGAGGTTTGTTGCATGGATTGATTCCTGAGTTAGAGTTGTTACGGTGCGGTGCGTGGTTGCTGGTGAGAATATGCTTAAGGTTAGCAGGTTGTCTGCGGGTGAGGACTGGCCTGCCCCTCTGCTATATACATTGGCCAAACTGGACAGTCACTACACAAGAGGATAAATGGACAAGTCAGATATCAGGAATGGCAATACACAAAAACCTGTAGGAGAACACTTCAACCTCCCTGGCCACACAATAGCAGATGTAAAGGTAGCCACCTTACAGCAAACAAACTTCAGGACCAGACTCCAAAGAGAAACTGCTGGGCTCCAGTTCATTTGCAAATTTGACACCATCAGCTCAGGATTAAACAAAGTCTGTGAATGGCTATCCAACTACAGAAGCAGTTTCTCCTCCCTTGGTGTTCACACCTCAACTGCTAGCAGAGCACTTCATCCTCCCTGATTGAACTAACTTTGTTATCTCCATACTGATTTATACCTGCCTCTGGAAATTTCCATTACTTGCGTCTGATGAAGTGGGCATTCACCCACGAAAGCTTATGCTCCAATACTTCTGTTAGTCTTAAAGGTGCCACAGGACCCTCTGTTGCTATTTTGGAGAGAGTCGCTTTTCAGAACAGAACTGCACTTTTAAGCCCTGAAAGAAATAAAAGCAACTATGCTTGTAGAACTTGTTTCAAATAAAAGAAATTAAGATTGATGCAGCATTTAGTAATGCCTCCTCTCCCACAGGTATTTAGACTGGCTATCTCATTTTAGATCCAGTATTAGTGTAGAAGATTGTATTTGCTTTTAATATGAATTTTGTTTCCATTAATTCCTGCAGCTTGGGAATTAAACAAAAACTAGAAACGGTTAGATCACATAGCTATGCTCCATATATAGCCTGCCATTCCTGATGTAAAGGTTTAGAAGACAAACTTAGTCCACTGGCTAATGGAAGCTAAGGATAGGCTGGAGTGAGGCAAAAAGATCATTTATCTTAAGCTAGAATTCTTTATCTAATCTGATGCGAAAGGAGAAACAGCCTGTTTTGGAAATCTTCGCAGAAAGGCCGAGGAACAAATTAAGAAAAAAGATTACATTAAAAGTAGCACAATGAATACGTGTATTAAGAAGTAAATGCAATATACCTGCAAGGGACATCACATAAAATCCTATCATAGAAGAGGATCTCTTTTCTTCCATTATTATCTATTTGTAGAGTAGGGATGCTGGAAGCGTCATGATTTACCACCATGATGCAAGGACTGTTTAACCTCTTAGCCTGATGAACCAGCAAATAGCAGCGCTTGTTGTCAACATCATTAGCAATTACAAACCCCTCTGGGAACAAAATAAAATTTACAGGTTAACGGGAAGAATCTGTGTTTTGCATTCATATATTAGCCAGCAAATATGCTGCAAAAATATGTATCACAGTACCCAAATAGTGGCTTTACTATTCAATAATTATATAGGTAAAATATAGTTTCCCCTTCATATTGCATAAATTGTTTGGAAATGAGCATTTTATAGTCCTAATTTTTAAGCCTAGTTTCAAACATTTGGAACGTGGAGCGCTCTGTTTAAATTAGAAGTGACCAATTTGGCACTATACAACTGCAACAAAATACAGTTCTTCCACATCTCATCCCAGAGTTAGCAGAGCTTTTTTGCAGAAATGATACGCACTGATGCCTGAAAAGGACAAAGCTGCTCTGCTGAATGCAATACGTGGTATTTTTGCAGCCATTTTATAGAAAGTAAAAATAATTCTGAAGTTAAAGAAGAGGGACTGTAAACAGGCGGTTCTTATAATGGAGAACACACAACCTAATGTAATATCTAAGGCCTGGTCTAAACTATGAGTTTAGGTCGAATTTAGCAGCGTTAAATCGAATTAAGCCTGGACACGTCCACACAACGAAGCCCTTTTTTTCGACTTAAAGGGCTGTTTAAACCGGTTTCTTTGCTCCACCTTCGACGAGGGGATTAGCTGAAATCGGCCTTTCTGGGTCGGATTTGGGGTAGTGTGGACAGAATTCGACATTCTTGGCCTCCGGGAGCTATCGCACAGTGCTCCATTGTGACCGCTCTGATTAATTTGCCCTGGCAATCGCGGCCAGTACAGCTACTGGAAAAGTCTGTTAACATGTATGGGGATGGAGCAGAAATCCTCCAGGGACATCTCCAGAAGGCTCTCTTTCATGTACTCCAAAAGCCTTTGCAAAAGGTTTCTGGGGAGGGCTGCCTTATCCCATCCGCCATGGTAGGACACTTTACCACGCCAGGCCAGTAGCACGTAGTCTGGAATCATTGCGTAACAAAGCATGGCAGCTTTATGGTCCCAGTGTTTGCTGGCATGCAGACAACATCCATTCCTTATCTCTCCTTGTTATCCTCAGGAGAGTGATATCATTCACGGTCACCTGGTTGAAATGGGGTGATTTTATTAAGGGGACATTCAGAGGTGCCCATTCCTGCTCGGCTGAACAGAAATATTCCCCGCTGTTAGCCACGCGGTGGGGGGGAGGGGTGAAGTGATCATCCCAGAGAATTGGGTGTGTGGGGGGAAGGAGGGTTAGTTGGGTTTGTGCTGCATGTTAACCCAGAAACTGCAGCCCCTCCTTTTACACTGCAAACCCATTTTAAATGGGCAACCCAACGGGTGCTTGATATGGGAAATGGGGGCACTGCTGTTTGAAACCATTCCCACATGTTATGAAGGTTAAAAAAGCCAAAAGACTGTGGCTTACCATGGCTGCCTGCAAGCCGAATTCTGTTGCCTGGCACTGCATGAGTGATCTCTCACACCAAACCGGCAGGCCCTCAATATAAGAGGAAAAATGCGACCTTGTAACGAAAGCACACGTGCTGTGTAATGTGAACAGCAAAATTTAACGTGGAAAAGTGTACCCATTGTTCTCTAAAATGTGTCTTTTTTAACCACCTCTCCCTTCTCCTCCACCAGCTGCAAATGTTTCTCCTTCGCAGAGGCTAGTGAAGATTAGAAGGAGAAAATGACGGACTAGGGATGATATGTTCTCGGAGCTCCAGATGTCCTCCCACGCTGACAGAGCACAGCAGAATGCGTGGAGGCAGTCAATGCCAGAGTGCAGAAAAGCACAACATGAATGAGAGAAGAGGTGGCGGGCTGAAGAGAGCAAGTGGTGGGCTGAAGAGGATAGGTGGCGTCAGATTGCTGACAGAAGGCAAGAGTCGATGCTCCAGCTGCTGGAGCATCAAACTCATATGCTCCAGCGTATGGTTGAGCTGCAGGAAAGGCAGCAGGAGCACAGACCGCCGCTACAGCCCCTGTGTAACCAACAGCCCTCCTCCCCAAGTTTCATAGCCTCCTCACCCAGATGCCCAAGAATGCGGTGGGGGGGCCTCCGGCCACCCAGCCACTCCACCCCAGATGATTGCCCAAGCATCAGAAGACTGGCCTTCAGTAAGAGTTAAAGTTTTAAACTGCAGTGTGTCCTTGTCCTTCACTCCTCCCCCACCCCTCCCGGGCTACCTTGGCAGTTATCCCCCTAGTTGTGTGATGAATTAATAAACAATGCATGAATGTGAAGTAACAATGACTTTATTGCCTCTGCAAGCGGTGCTCGAAGGGGGGAGGGGAGAGTGGTTAGCTTACAGGGGAGTAGAGTGAACTAGGGGGTGGGTCATCAAGGAGAAACAAACAGAAGTTTCACACTGTAGTCTGGCCAGTCACAAAACTGGTTTTCAAAGCTTCTCTGATGCGCAGCGTGCCCTGCTGTACTCTTCTAACCGCCCTGGTCTCTGGCTGTGCGTAATCAGTGGCCAGGCAATTTGCCTCATCCTCCCACCCCGCCATAAATGTCTCCCCCTTACTCTCACAGATATTATGGAGCGCACAGCAAGCAGCAATAACAATGGGGATATTGGTTTCGCTGAGGTCTATCCGAGTCAGTAAACTGCGCCAGTGCACTTTTAAACATCCAAGTGCTCATTCTACCACCATTCTGCACTTGCTCAGCCTATAGCTGAACAGGTCCTGACTACTGTCCAGGCTGCCTGTGTACGGCTTCATGAGCCATGGCATTAAGGGGAGGCTGGGTCCCCAAGTATCACGATAGGCATTTCAACATCCCCAATGATTATTTTCTGATCCGGGAATAAAGTCCCTTCCTCCAGCTTTCGAAACAGACCAGAGTTCCTGAAGACGCGAGCATCATGTACCTTTCCCGGTCATCCCACGTTGATGTTGGTGAAACGTCCCTTGTGATCCACCAGGGCTTGCAGCAGCATTGAAAAGTACCCTTTTTGGTTTATGTACTCGGTGGCTTGGTGCTCTGGTGACAAGATAGGGATATGGGTTCCATCTATCGCCCCTCCACAGTTAGGGAATCCCATTGCAGCAAAGCCATCCACTATGGCCTGCATGTTTTCCAGAGTCACTACCCTTGATATCAGTACGTCCTTGATTGCATTGGCTTCTTGGATCACAGCAGCCCCCACAGTAGATTTGCCCACTCCAAACAGATTCCCGACTGACCGATACCTGTCTGGCGTTGCAAGCTTCCACAGGGCTATCGCCACTTGCTTCTCAACTGTGAGGGCTGCTCTCATCCTGGTATTCTGGCGCTTCAGGGCAGGGGAAAGCAAGTCACAAAGTTCCATGAAAGTGCCCTTACGCATGCGAAAGTTTCGCAGCCACTGGGAATCATCCCACACCTGCAACACGATGCGGGTCCCACCAATCTGTGCTTGTTTCCCGGGCCCAGAATCAGCGTTCTACGACATGAACTTGCCCCACTTTGGGAGAGGTCTATGTCCATATCAATTTCTTCATCACTCTCGTCGCCGCGCTGCAATCGCCTCCTCGCCTGTTTTTGCTTTGGCATGTTCTGGCTCTGCATATACTCCAGGACAATGTGCGTGGTGTTCATAGTGCTCATAATTGCCACAGTGATCTGAGTGGGCTCCATGATCCCAGTGATATGGCGTCTGGGCTGAAAAAAGGCGTAAAACTATTGTCTGACCGAGGGACGGGAGGGAGGGGCGAGCAAGTGACGACATGGCTTACAGGAAATTAAAATCAACGAAGGTGGCTGTGCATCAGGGAGAAACACAAACCACTATCACACAGAATGGCACCCCCAAAGATTGAACTCAAAACCTTGGGTTTAGCAGGCTGTTGATTTCACGGAGGGAGGGGGAAGCAAATGAATACAGAACAAATCTGGTCCATCTATCTTTTACATCTTAGGCTGGCAGCAGATGGTGCAGCAGGACTGATAGCCATCGGCATCTTCTGGGTGCTTGGCAGAAAATGGTGCATTACGACTGCTAGCCATCATCATCAAGACGGTGCAATAGGACTGCCAGCAGGACTGAGTCTCCAGGAGACAAAACATGTCTGCCCAGGTGCCTCTAACCGAACTCACTGAGGAGTACGATGATGATGGATACCAGTCGTAATACAGCATCTGCTGCCAAAAGGCAAGGAGCTGCTGCTGTATAGCAATGCAGTCCCACATCTGTCAGCACCCAGATAGCTGATGATGGCTACCAGTCATATTGCACCATCTACTGCCAAAAGGCAATTAACTGCTGCTGTGTAGCAATGCAGTACCACGTCTGCAGGCACCCAAATGACATATGGTGACGGTGAGCTGAGCTGAGCGGGCTCCATGCTTGCCATGGTATGTCGTCTGCACAGGTAACCCAGGAAAAAAGGCGTGAAACGATTGTCTGCCATTGCTCTCACCGGGGGAGGGGGCGGGGATGGGCTGACGACATGTACCCAGAATCCCCCGCGACACTGTTTTTGCCTCATCAGGCATTGGGATCTCAACCCAAAATTCCATTGGGCGGTTGATACTGCGGGAACTGTGGGATAGCTACCCACAGTGCAACGCTCCGGAAGTCGATGCTAGCCTCGGTACTGTGGACACAGTGTGCCGACTTAGTGCACTTCGAACATTTTATGTGGGGACACACAATCGACTGTATAAAAACAATTTCTATAAAACCAGCTTCTATAAATTCGACCTAATTTCGTAGTGTAGACATACCCTAAGGAGAGCACTAGAACAAAAATTCCTGAGGTACAGTCTATTGAATTCACACTCGATTACATGGAAAAATTAAGCTCTGATTACATTTAATGTTACCTCAACTCTCTGCAAGTATATAATCCACTTAGCTCCTCTTCAGAGTCACAGTGAAGAAAAAAGTTTTAAAGACAACCTGCATATAATTTGAGAAGCCAACTGTTGCCTAGGGAGAGCTGTGATGACTCATGAAGTGGAAGCTGACAATATAATAAAATAGAACCTTTAAAAATACAAGTTTAAAATCTATTACATGCTGAACACCTCTCCAACCTAACTATACAATTTGGTGAATTCAGCACATAATTACAGTTTTGTTATATGTTTGTGAAACTTGCAAATGGTCTTTTATAATAAAAATCTTTAAAAAAATCGAAGGCTTCAGAAGCCCAAAGTAAGTAGTCCTGACAGACTTACCTGGAAAAGGAACATTCATGTCTGCATGCAACATTTCAATGAGCTGCGCAGTCTTAGACCCCGGTGCAGCACACATATCTAGAATCTACCAATAAAAAGTAAATATTTCAAGATTTCTCAAACATGTTCAGCAGTTTTGATTTTAAACTGTAATTCAGTGTTTCCCAACTGGGGTTCGCGAAATGTTACAGGGGGTTCTCGGAGAAAAAATTCCCTAATGGTGGACAGAGCTGTCCCTAGGGACTCTGGGCAGCATGAGGCCAACAGCCCCTGGATGTCCAAAAGCTAAGCAGATCAAAGCAAGCATATCTATCACAATGAGGAGATTTAAATTTCAAGACTCCTTCTAAGAAATGGAAAGGGAGGTGGATATTTTTTGCTGTTTTTAAAAGTAAATAGGCAGCTAGTATTGTTTTTAAAATTATTATGAAGAACAAGTTTAAGCTTTGTTGTAACGTGCGTTGTTTGCCTGGACTGCTCGAGACCTGAATGCTTGTGTAGGACGAACTCTGAGTTGGCTTTTTAAATACCTTCACACTGTTTCACATCTGATACTCCTTGATGAAGCATAGGAGCCTTGTCTTATAACAGGCTTATTCAAAGTGATACAAGCTACGAAAGTGAGATCTTGGTAGAGTGTTGCCGTTTTCATAATGGAATAAAAATACTGTAATGATAAATAATTAATAAATATTGTGTAATAAGCATGTCATTAAAAACAAATTTTATATTTCCAAGATCACTGCTTTTATAATTTATACTCCGGTAAAGGAGAAAATCCCTGGAAATATTCATTTTTAGGAGGGGGTTCATGAGACTTGACATTTTAGTGAAAGGGGTTCACAGGTTGTTAAAGTTTGGGAACCACTGCTGTAATTGCTTGCAAAAAATAAAAGATGTTTTTAGGCATAAAATAGAAAGTTCAAAAGTATGACATGAAACAGTCCATTCTAGCTATTTCTCAGTTGAGTTACCCTTGTTCTGAGTATATATCCATCAGATAAGGCTATATCTACACTACCATTTCTGTTGGCAAAACTTATGTCCTTCAGGGGTGTGAAAAAATACACCCGAGCAACATAAATTACACCAACATAACACCAGTGTGGAAGCTCTCCTGCTAACATAGCTACCGCTGCTTGTTGAGGGTGGTTTAATTATGTTGATGGGAGAGCTCTCTCCTGTCAGCATAGAACAACTACGCAAGAGATCTTACAGCAACGCAGCTGTATCGGTACAGCTGTGCCACTGTAAGCTCTCTAGCGTAGACAAAGCCTGTGACAGGCGTTCTAGTTCAGTCTCCATGCACATGAGCAACTATCATTAGAGTTAATGAGAACTATGCATACACATTAAGGGTACATTTAAACTACAGTTTTTTACTTCGTATTATCTTTGGTTAACTGAAAATTAACACATTTGTAAAGGCTAGTCTGGACACTCTCCAGGAGTTTGTGGTTTACCTTAGGGGACAATTTAAAGTAAGCTACAAATTTTCACACAAGAACTGGGTCAGACCAACGATCCATCTAGTTCAGTATCCTGTCTTCCAATAGTGGCCAATGCCAGGTGCTTCAGAGGGAAGGAACAGAATAGATAATCATCAAGTGATCTTCCCCTGTTGCCAAATTCCCAGCTTCTGGCAAACTGCGACTGGCCCGGGAGCCACTGCTGTGGCAGCCTCAGGCCATGGCATCCTCCCTCCACCTAGCAGCAGCAGGAGTTTGGGTGTGGGAGGGTGCTCAGTCCTGGGGCAGGGGGTTGGGGTGTGGGAGGGGATTAGGGCTCCAGGCAGTGCTTACCTCAGGAGGCTCCCCAGAAATGGCGACATGTCCCTCCCTCAGCTGCTAGGTGGAGGCGAGGCCAGACAGCACCATGTGCTGCCTCCGTCTCCAGGCACTGACCCCATAGTTCCCATTGGCCACAGGTCCTGGCCCTAGGAGCCAAGGGACATGACACCGCTTCCGGGGAACCGTGTGGAGCCAGGTAGGGAGCCTGCCAGACCCGCCAAGCCCCCATCCGCCCCAAGCAGCAGTGGTGGTCCTGGGCCACACCTCGCGCCCCCCCTCCTCTCCTCAGCACCCAAGATTTAGTCAGGGGTGTATAGTACATGTCATGGACAGGTCATGGGCCATTAATTTTTGTTTGCTGCCCACATCCTGTCCATGACTTTTACTAAAAATACCCATGACTAAAATGTAGCCTTAAATATGATATTTCCTGTCTTATTATCTATCCCTTTCTTAATGATTCCCAACATTCTCTTAGCTTTTTTGACTGCTGCTATCATTGAATGCATGTTTTCAGAGAACTATCCACAATGACTCCAAGATCTCTTTCTTGAGTGGTAACAGCTAATTTAGACTCCATTTTATATGTATAGTTGGGATTATGTTTTCCAATGTGCATTGCTTTGCATGAATTTCATCTGCCACTTTGTTGCCCAGTCACCCAGTTTTGTGAGATCTCTTTATAACTCTTCTCAGTCTGCTTCAGACCTAATTATCTTGAGTAGTTTTGTATCATCTGCAAATTTTGCCATCTCACTATTTACCCTTTTTTTCCAGATCTTTTATGAATATGTTGAACAGCACTGGTCCCAGTACAGACCCGTGTGGGGACACCACTATTTACTCCTCTCCACTCTGAAAACTGATCATTTATTTCAACCCTTTGTTCCCTCCATGGACAAACGTATGGGAAGTGCCTAGATTACCCTTTACACACGTCAACTACCTTGAGTTTATTGGTAATCATCTTGAAATAGAACCACCAATCACCTTGGGTTCATTCACACATCTTGTGGTGTTGATAGCACTCCAAACAAACAAAACAAAACAAAACAATGCTCCTAAATAGCTTTTGCTCAAAATGAAAAAATGAGCCACAGTGGAGAGCTTAAAAAAGGTGACTCAATATTATAAACAGAGAAAGCCACAGAAAAGGAAGGGGGGAATATACATGAATACAGTTAAATTTCGAAGATAAAATATTTTTTGAAGGATGGAGGCAATGAATTGATTCAAAAACTTAAACATACAGAGTTAAAAAAAAAATCAATTATTATTTTTCCAATACACATGAACTGGAGCATACTGTCATTGCTAATCTCTGTATGCAGAACACATGGCCTGTCCTAATAAATAAAGCATCAACACAAATACTATGGGGTTTGTAATTTTCTTATTTTTCCTATATGACTTCCAGTTCTCACATTACTTTAAAGATTACCTTATGGTGAGGATTAACATTAAGCAGCAGAGGAGGGATCATACTGACAGCTTCTTGACGACTAACGTTTCCCTAAAATAAAATGAACATGTGTGCGCTATCCATTAGATCTTATGCAAATGTGATTTACTTCACAATAATACATTAATAGTGCTGTATAAATGAATGTGCACTGAAAAAGTCAGTACTACAAAACACCATGTAACTTTCCCCCTTCTCCCTTCCTCCTCCCCCAACTTTTTCCTTCTTCCCTGTCATAGATGCAGAAAGTTTCTCCTTTGCTCTCCTCCTTTAACCACTCCACTTGCTCTCCTCATCCCATCTTCTGATCCCTCTCACACTCACTCCTCCGCTTCCTTACTCTTTTCCTTAACTTTCCTCTGACTCCTTCTCACAATATAAACATGCCTCAGTCTCTCCCATCTTAAAAAACCCACCCTTCACCCCACTTGTCTATCCAACTACTGTGCCATTTCCCTTCTACTACTAAATTTCCAGAACTATAATCTACAGTCCACAATCCCTGTCTGGAGCTCTTCTCCTTCAATTCCACCCTAGACCTTCTCCAATCTGGCTGCTGCCCCTTGCGCTCCACTGAAACTCCTCTTGCCAAAATTGCTAATAATCTCTTTTCAGCCAAAACGCAGAACCACTAATCCATCCTTATCCTCCTTGAAGTCAGCCAACTTTGACACCACCAATCACACTCGTCTTGAAATCTTGTCTTCCTTTGGCTTCTAATTGCTTCTTCAACATGTCCTTGGAGGATCCTCCTCCTCTCCCATTCCAACTTTCGGGGGGGGGGAATATTCTACAGGGCTCTGCCCTTGGTCTGCCCTTCTCTTGCCCCTTTTCTCTGGGTACTCTTGCCTGCAACCATAAATTCAATTACCATCTCTTTGCCAATGATTCACAGATCTCTCATTCTTCCCTCCTCCAGACATAAGTCCTTCTGTCCAAACTAAAATCTCAGCATATCTCTCTGACCTCTCCCTCATGGATGCCTACCAATCAGCTCAAGCACAACATGGCTAACGCAGACGTCTTAATTCCCCCCCCCCCTCCCAAAACCTTTCCTCAATGCCACCATATTGCCTGTCACTCAGGCCTATAATCAGGGCATCATCACAGTTTCAGATCTTTCTCTAGGCCCTTGTGTCTAGGCTGTCTAAACCTCAAAAATTCTTTCTCCACAACATCTCTAAAATGTGGCCTTTCCTATCCATTCACACAGCTAAATCTCTCATCCAGGTGCTCATCTCGCACCTAAATTACTACATCATCTTTTTCTCTGGCCTTAAATACAGTCTTTCCCGGCTCAATAGCGTGTTTTCATTCATTCACAATAGTGTGTTATTCCATGATTAAGGATCCTAGGCACTATGGTAATATAAATAATAATAATCATCATTCTGACATTACACTCATTCATTCTAAATTTCATTACAAATTTAAATATCAAGCTCACACAAAACTGACAAATATGAGCCAAACAAACAACATTACTTTATCCTGTTCAAACTTCTCTTCTTTCCCTTAAGATTAGGGATGTATTTGATACTCAAGAGCAAGCAACTACAGAAAGTGGCTCCAGTCAAACATAAACAAACCCAAAAAAATCAAATTAATAAACCCACAAAAATAGAAGCTCTAATTATAGACTAAGTGATCACTATCATGGATTGTCTACTCGGTGTAGCAAAGTACACCACAGGGGTGATTTGTAAGCACGCTAAAATGTACCACTCTAACTACCCCACATAGACCCTGCTGGCACACTCTAAAAAGTACTTCGTTCATATTAACTGTCCCACGTAGATCCTGCTGGCATTAACGTGAACTAGGGACCTGTTAAGAGTGCATCAGCACTTCCTACATGGGGCAGTTAAGAGTGGAGCAAGTTAGGGCTTTGCAAATCACACCCTCTAGAGCACTTCATCAGTAATACGTACACAAGCCTTCACTTCCCAATAAAAAGTGTTCTGGTTCTAAAAAGAAAATTCAACTTTGGACATAATTCATTTGTTTGTTTGTTACATTTTATTAAAAAAAAAAGACCTTACACATTCTGTCTCGCTAACCAGAAACTGATGAAACTTTTCCAGCTGTGGTGACTTCCGCAAGATTTTTCTGCTCAAGTTAGTGTGCCATGCTAGCTCTTCTGGATACCTGATAAAACAAAGAGACACCCAGTGCAAACTCACGACAAACTAATGCAATCTCAAAAATCTTTCTAAACGAAAATATACAGCCACTTTTCTTTAGGCAATTTACAAACTGTCTAAATTATTTACATTCAAGTTGTCTGAAGTGTGCAGAACACAGTACAAAATTAAAATACGTAAGATGGTCAAATCAGATAAATATTAGACTTTAAGATTCCAGTCTTTAAACAATTCTGTTACAACTCTAACTATGACTCTTTCATTGCAACAGCTTAGCTGAATCCATACCACAGATACCTAGGTCAAAATCCGTCATGGGACCATCTGAATCTCAGTAAGAAAATGTGTAAACTCAACAGAACAGGACATTATCAAATAACAATATTCCTGCTCCTAGCTATGATGTCAGTACTGGATACACTTTGTGAGGCTATTATTTAATCTTTACACTAAAGCAACATCACAGCGAACAACGGATATGCCTGTAATTCACAGCAGACTATCAGAAAGCTCACACAAACCACTGCCTCAAAAACTTCCTCTGGACTATACTTTGCTTGTGCTGTGGCAAGCGGTCAGCACACAGCGAAGTAAAACCCCAACAGTATTCCCTCATTTTTTACACGTGTGCGGAATGAATTTTGTTATGTGCACCAATATGGAGACAAAATTCATGTGGTGAGGAAGGGGTTGAAGGGATGGGGCGCGCCTCAGGGCTGGGGCAGAGAGTTGGAGTGCAGGGTGGGGGGCTCTGGAGTGGGGCAAGGGATGAGGGGTTTGGGGTGCAGGCTGCCCCAGGGCTACTCTCCCTAAAGCAGCACCTGGGATGAGAGGTTTGGGGTGCAGGCTGCCCCAGCTTTCTCTCCCTAAAGCAGCACCTGGGGTGGAGGGGAGAGGCGCCTCTCCCTGCCACGGAAGCTCTGGGGCCGGAGCCGCAAAATAGGCATGTCTTCCCCTTCCATGGCAGGTCCGGGCTAGGGCACATCTGTCCCCTCCGCAGCAAGTCCGGGTTTGGGCTGGGTTGGGCCCAGGGGGAGAAGCGCCACTACCAACACGGTAGGTCTGAGCTGGGGCTGGGTTGGGAGTGCCTCTTCCCCATCGGCGGCAGGTCTGGGCGAGGCTGGGTTGGGGAAGGGGCGCCTCTCCTCTGGCCATGGCAGGTCCGGGGCTGGGGGAGAAGCCACAGCCCTGAACACCTGCATGGTGGTTAATACGCTGAGCTTAGAGGGAACTTAGCACCACAATCAGACAAATTAAGACCGATTCTGAAAAATGAACTGAAAAATAGAGCTTCTCCCCTCCCTCATATCTTTTTCTATTCAGTTATAATAATCCTAGGTGATCACTCGTAACTTTTCAAATAACTATGTGGCCTTTTCCTTTTACTAAAAAATATATTTGATGTAAAAAAAATTAATTCTATAAGAAACTTCATTTTGGGTATTAAAATGTGACTGACAAATATTTGCCAAAAACAGTACTATTGAGCAACCTAAATCCATTTTGAGTAGCACCAAGAAAGTTATAATATCTATAAAAATTATGTCTGTAATGCTAAAAGGGTGATCAGTTATATGCATTAAGATTTGATTAGCCAGTGGGTATCTTGCAAGAAAAAAATATTAGCCAAAAAATGTTAGCCAGGGCTCAACCTTAAGATCAGTGAATTCCACTACTAATAGTATATATGTTAATTATCAGATAAGGTAGAAAAGGAAGAGAGCAAGCTAAACTCTTGAAACAACATATTCTGAGTTTCCAAAGTGTCTTAGTTTTCTTACCACTTTAGTGGTTGTGGCACTTCAATTTTTTGCCCATCAACTACCAGGTCCTGCAACTCCTTGAAATACTTGTTCTTCAAGCAGTGCAGAATTTCTTTTGCATGGCTAAAGAAAGAAAAAAATGTTTTTGATTAAAAAACAAACAGTTGATTTATTTGAAGAGTGCAATGAAACAAAACTGTTCTGTGTATAACACTCCCATCTGGGGCAGAGTGCACCAACTTCATAGTGTTCTGAACCCCTCATGGCCCAGAAAACAAGTAACCAATATTAACCCACAAATTATGTACATTAACAATAAACAAGTAATACACATCATATAACCCTGCTTCATCATCAATTCTCTCCTATTTCTGTTTACTGGTTACCGGCTACCATCCAGATTTTCCCCTTTCCACTTTAAGAAGCAAGATCACACTTTTGTTGATGATCCTACATACACCATCTGCCCAGCAGCTCCAGCAACAACACAGCGAAGCTGACGCCAGTTTCACTTAGCACTTCACCCAACAGGAGCAGCAATGTGTACTAGTGCAATTCTGTGCTGCTGCTCCTGTTGCTGGGGGCACTGGTCAGGGGATGTGCAAACAGGAAAAAGAGGAATGAAGAATTAATCACAGAGAACCAAAAACCCCTCTCACCTGAGGCAGCTGTTTTCCACCATTGCCATCTCTAGCCTACAGATGAAAGTAGTTACAGATTGCACGGAAGAAAGAAAATACCCCCATGACAACCCCTCCCCGCACCGGGGACACCACCTGGCAGGAGGAACAGCAGGGGGCGGCTGCCGAAGCCCTGGGGCTGACACCGCTTCCGTGTATCACGTCTCGCGCCATCGGCGTCCCTAGCGGGCGTGTGCAGCTCCCCCCCACTCTCCGCAGCAACGGCCTTTTGCTGAGCGCTTCCTACGCCCCGCGACTGGCCTCTCCCCGCGGGCCCGCGCTCACCTCTTGTAGCCGGTGATGCGCAGAGTGGCGGGAAGCGGCTCCCTCAGCGCCGCCATGAACGGCTCCCACTCGCCCTCGGGCACAATCCGCAGTTCCTGGTAGTAGCGCTCAAACAGCGCGTTCTCCTTGACGATTTCAGGGTAGCCGCCTTCCCAGCCCTGCAAGAGGCGGCGACGAGCGGATCAGACACGGCGCGGGGCAGGGGAGCAGATCTCCCGGGTTGGGAAGAGGGAGCTCCCGGGGGGGGGTGGGGTCTCTCGCGCGAGGATCTGACTAGGAGTCAGGGACCCTTAGCGCTCCCCGGGTCCGAGCAGCCGATGCGTGCGCGGGGCACAGGCGCTCGGGCCAGGGGACCTTCGCGGCGTCAGTGAATCGGCTACAGCTTAGCACCCTCCCCCACCCCGCTCCGCCCGGTAGCTGCTCACCGCCTGCTCCCGGCCCTGCCCGTCCCCGCCGCCTCCCCGCTCGCGGCGCTGCTGCTGCTGCCTTTGGCGGTTGCGCTGCCTGCGGCCCATCGCGCGCCGTACGAAAGCGGCTGCTACCGCGCGCCACAGAGTGATTTTCCCGCAGCCGAAGGACAGCCGTCACCCGATATTGTCACGTAGCACATGCGGTGGCCTGGTTTTTGCGCGTGCGCGGGGCCCTTGCCAGCTGACTGCAGTGCATGGAAAGCCCCTCAAGGACTGTCCTCGAATTCGCCTGCAACATAAACTCAACTGTGCTAATTTTCTCCTTCGTTGAGCCAGCTGGCACCGGGAAGCGCCGTTATTTTAATGAACCGGGGTCTGCCTGGCGGGGAGGACATCTCTGTGTCACTTGAGGGGATTCATTGTTTTATATTTTTGGACTAGCGCTTATCAAGGACAGCCCATGGCACGCTGTCTTTAGGCGCCTGTGTGACGCCCACATGAGGAAATAAGGGTAGGGACTCTGCCAGATTTCTCAATTTTGTATTGGCTAAACTAAACGATTGACAGCCCAGCTTCTCCAATCAATGTTTGCACAGATCGGGTACCTGGCTCCTGCCGTCCTATGTGGATGAAAAGCCGCACCAGACGCTGCCCAATGACACATCCCCAAATAGCGTCTCTCCGCACGTGGCGTCTGTGTGGTAGTGATCACTGCTCAGGGCGCGGGCAGTTAGCTAGGCGGGGTTCTGGCTTAGCGCAGCTCTCCCTACCGCGGCGTGCTGATTGGGTGGCCTGCGACGAGCCTCCCTGCTGCCTGTCCCGGTGCTAGTCTAGCGCCGTGCCCGCGCCGGCGAGGGTTCGACGCCTTTTGCACGTAGTTGTCTCATTGGTGTCGCGTGACCAAACCCCGCCTTTGCTCTCGGCGCGCGGCTCTGCGGCACCGGCCGGTGGGGGCTGAGCGCGCCCGGCCATGGAAGCGACGGGTGGGTTGTGGCAGCGGCTGTCGGGGCCAGAGGAGCGGCGGCTGCTGGAAATCCTGTCCTACGGGCTGGTGGGCGCGGGGGCGCTCTCCGCGCTGTTGCTGCGCTTCGTGCGGATGCCGTACGGGCGCTACTCCACGCGCCGCTTCGGCTGCCCTGTGCCCGTCCGCCTGGCCTGGGCGCTGCAGGAGCTGCCGTCCCTGCTGGTCCCGCTGGGGCTGAGCCTCTTCAGCGGCGCGGCCCGCGTCTCCAAGTGGCCGAACCGGGTCCTGCTGGCGCTCTTCATCGGGCACTACGCACACAGGTAGCAGCGCGGCTCCCCGCAGCTTGTCCTTCTGGCCGGAGCGGCCCCGCTGGTTCCCTCTGGCAGGCCGCGCTTCGCAGCTCCCGCAGGGAAACCCCAGCGTGCAGGGGGGCTGCCAGGAGTAGGGTGACCAGATGTCCCGATTCTATAGGCACAGGCCCAATTTTGGGGTCTTTTTCTTATATAGGATCCCATTACCCCTCACCCCGTCCCAATTTTTCACATTTGCTGTTCGGTCACTCCAGCCCGAAGGCTCAGCCCAGCCTGGGAGTTTGTCCAGGTCTGGCCCTGAGACAAAAAGGGACAAGATTTGCCAGGCATTTGGTGTGGAAGGTGGTGGCATCATCTCGAAGAGCCCCTTGCTCCTGTGACTTCACCATAGGGCAGTGGTTTTCCATTTTTTTTTCTAGCGACCCAGTCGAAGAAATTTGTTGATGCCCGTGACCCAACGGAGCTGGGGAGAAGGGGTTTGGGGTGTGGGAGGGGCTCAGGGTTAGGGTGTGGGGGTGAGGGTTGTGGGGTGGGGCTAGGAATGAGGGGTTCAGGGTGTGGGAGGCAGGGGGAGGGGGTCAGGACTCTGGGCTGGGGCCAGGGATGAGGGGTTTGGGGTGTAGGAGGGGGTGGGGCAAGGAATGAGGGGTTTGGGGTGTAGGAGAGGATCAGGGGTCTGGGCTGGGGGTGCAGGCTCTGGGGTAGGGCCAGCAATGAGGGAGTTGGAGTGCAGGAAGGGGCTCAGGACTGGGGCAGGGGATTGGGGCGTGGACGTAGCTCAGGCGGCTCCCCGTCAGCAGCGCAGCAGGGATGCTAAGGCAGGCTTCCTGCCTGTCCTGGCGCAGCAGACCATGCTCGCTGCAGAAGCGGCCAGCAGCAGGTCTGCCTCCTAGGTGGCGGAGCGCAAGCGGCTCCCGTGCAGCTCTTGCCTGCAGGCACTGTCCCCCACCAGCTCCAATTGGTGAGGAACCGGCCAATGGGAGTGCGGAGTTGGTGCTCAGGGCGAGGGCAGCGCGCAGAGACCCATGTCATCGTTGCCATCCCTTCCCTGGCCCCCGCCTTCTAGGAGCCGGACCTGCTGTTGGCGGCTTCTGGGGTGCAGCGCGGTGTCAGAACAGGTAGGGTCTACCCTGCCATAGTCGGGCAGCACCGCCAACGGGACTTTTAATGGCCGGGTCGGCGGTGGTGACAAGAGCCGCTGCGATACAGTACCTTTCATTCCGTGACCCAGTTTGAAAACCACTGCCCTAGGATGACCAGGTGTCCTGATTTTATAGGGACAGTCCCAGTATTCAATGTTTTTCCTTATATAGGTACCTGTTACTCCTCAGCCTTGTTGCAATTTTTCACTTTTGCTATCTGGTCACCCTACCTCACTCTGGGTATGTCTACACTATGAAATTAGGTCAATTTAATAGAAGTAAATTTTTTAGAAATTGATTTGATACAGTCGATTGTGTGTGTCCCCACTAAGCGCTTTAAGTTGGGGTGCGTCCGCAGTTCCGAGGCTACTGTCGACTTCAGGAGTATTGCACTGTGGGTAGCTGTCCCACAGTTCCCGCAGTCTCTGCCGCCCATTGGAATTCTGGGTTGAGCTCCCAATGCCTGATGGGGCAAAAACATTGTCACGGGTGGTTATGGGTACATGTCATCAGGCCTCCATCCCTCCGTGAAAGCAACGGCGAACAATCGTTTCTTGCTTTTTTTCCTGGGTTACCCGTGCAGACAGCATACCACGGCAAGCATGGAGCCCGCTCAGCTCACTGTCACCATACGTCTCCTGGGTGCTGCTGACAGACGTACTGCAGTGCTACACAGCAGCATCTCCTTGCCTTGTGGGTGGCAGACGGTGCAATACGACTGTTAACCATCATCGTCGTCTTGTGGGTGCTCCTGGCCGACCTTGGTGAGGTTGGTTGGGGGTGCCCAGGCAGACATAGGTGCTCCTGGCCGACCTTGGTGAGGTCAGTCAGGGGCGCCTGGACATAAATGGGAGTGACTCCAGGTCATTCTGTTCTTTAAGTTTTGTCTAATGGAGATTCAGTCCTGCCTGGAATATCATGCGAGCTGGAGGCTTTTGCCTCAGGCTGCTCTCCCAGTCGGCAGCACCGCGCGATCGCACCTACCCATTGCTCCCATGGTTCATGAAGCCTGGACAGTAGTATGGAGCAGTTCAACTATAGGCTGAGCAAGTGCAGAATGGTGGTAGAATGAGCCTTTAGATGTTTAAAAGCTCGCTGGCGCTGTTTCCTGACTAGGCTGTTTGCGATTAGAAGAGCACAGCAAGGTGCGTTGCACATTACAGAGGCTTTGAAGACCAGTTTCATAACTGGCCACGCTTCGGTGTGACAGTTGTGTGTGTTTCTCCTTGATGAAAACCTGCATCCTTTGTTGATTTTAATTCCCTGTAAGCCAACCCTGTAAGCCATGTCGTCAGTCACCCCCCCTCCGTGAGAACAATGGCAGACAATCGTTTCGCGCCTTTTTTCCATGCAGACGCCATACCACGGCAAGCATGGAGCCTGCTCAGATCACCGCGGCAGTTATGAGCACTGTAAACACCACGCGCATTATCCTGCAGTATATGCAGCACCAGAAACTTCAACAGCAGGCGAGGAGGCGACAGCAGCGCGGTGATGGGAGTGATGAGGACATGGACACAGACTTCTCTCAAAGTACGGTCCCTGGCAATTTGGACATCATGGTGGTAATGGGGCAGGTTCATGCCGTGGAACGCCGATTCTGGGCCGGGGAAACAAGCACAGACTGGTGGGACCGCATCGTGTTGCAGGTCTCGGATAATTCCCAGTGGCTGCGAAACTTTTGCATGCGTAAGGGCACTTCCGTGGAACTTTGACTTGCTTTCCCCTGCCCTGAAGTGCAAGAATAACAAGATGAGAGCAGCCTTCATGGTTCACAAGCGAGAGGCGATAGTCATCTGGAAGATTGCAACACCAGACTGCTACCGGTCAGTTGGGAATCAATTTGGAGTGGGCAAATCTACTGTGTGGGACTGCTGTAATCCAAGTAGCCAACGCGATCACTGAGCTGCTGCTATCAAGGGTAGTGACTCTGGGAAATGTGCAGGTCATAGTGGATGGCCTTGCTGCAATGGGATTCCCTAACTGTGGTGGGGCGATAGACAGAATGCATAGCCCTATCTTGGGACCGGAGCACCTAGGCAGCCAGTACATAAACAGAAAGGGGTACTTTTCAATGGTACTGCAAGCACTGGTGGATCACTGGGGATGTTTCACCAACATCAACGTGGGATGGCCGGGAAAGGTACATGATGCTCGCATCTTTAGGAACTCTGGTCTGTTTCAAAAGCTGCAGGAAGGGACTTTCTTCCCAGGCCAGAAAATAACCATTGGGGATGTTGAAATGCCTATAGTTATCCTTGGGGACCCAGCCTCCCCTTAATGCCATGGCTCATGAAGCCGTACACAGGCAGCCTGGACAGTAGTCAGGAGCAGTTCAACTATAGGCTGAGAAAGTGCAGAATGGTGCATTTGGATGTTTAAAAGCGTGCTGACGCAGTTTACTGACTTGGTTAGACCTTAGCGAAACCAATATTCCCATAGTTGTTACTGCTTGCTGTGTGCTCCACAATATTTGTGAGAGTAAGGGGGAGACGTTTATGGTGGGGTGGGAGGTTGAGGCAATTCGCCTGGCCGCTGATTACACGCAGCCAGACACCAGGGTAGTTAGAAGAGCACAGCAGGGCGCGCTGTGCATCAGAGAAGCTTTGAAAACCAGTTTCATGACTGGCCAGGTTACAGTGTGAAAGTTCTGTTTGTTTCTCCTTGATGAAAACCCGCCTCCTTGGTTCACTCTATTTCCCTGTAAGCCAAGTGCCCTTCTCTCCCCCCTTTGATCACCACGTGCAGAGGCAATAAAGTCATTGTTGTTCCATATTCATGCAGTCTTTATTAATTCATCACACAAATGGGGGGATAACTGCAAAGGTAGCCTGGGAGGGGTGGGGGAGGAGGGAAGCACTGGGTGGGGTGGTGGATGAGGGGAGGAGGGAAGGACAAGGCCACACTGCACTTCAAAACTTATTGAATGCCAGCTTTCTGTTGCTTGGTCAGTCCTCTGGGGTGGAATGGTTGGGTGCCTGGAGGCCCCCCCACCGCGTTCTTGGGCATCTGGGTGAGGAGGATATGGAACTTGGGGAGGAGGGAGGTTGGTTACATAGGGACTGCAGCGGCGGTCTGTGCTCCTGCTGCCTTTCCTGCACCTCAGCAATACGCCGGAGAATATCAGTTTGATCCTCCTGTAGCCTGAGCATTGCTTCCTGCCTCCTCTCATCACGCTGACACCACCTGTCATCTTGATCCCGCCACCTGTTCTTGTGTTCATTTTGTGCTTTCCTGCACTCTGACAGTGTCTGCCTCCATGCATTCTGCTGGGCTCTTTCAGTGTGGGAGGACTGCATGAGCACAGAGAACATGTCATTCGCGAGTGCGTTTTTTTCGCCTTCTGATCTTCGCTAGCCTCTGGGACAGAGATGATATGGGGAGCATTGAAACATTTGCAGCTGTGGGAGGGAAAAAAAGGGAGAGTAGTATTTAAAAAGAGACATTTTAGAGAACAATGGGTAGACTCTTTCACGGTGAACCAAGCTGTTAACATTACATAGCACGTGTGCTTTCTTTACAAAGTCGCATTTTGCCTCTTATATTGAGGGCCTGCTGGTGTGGAGTGAGAGATCACACAAGCAGGGCCGGCAGGCAACAGAATTCAGCTTTCAGGCAACCATGGTAAGCCACAGTCTTTTGGCTTCTTTAATCTTCATAATATGTGGGAATGATTTCAAACAGCAGCGTCCTCATTTGCCATACTAAGCACCTGTTGGGTTGGCCATTTAAAAGGAGGGGCTGCGGTTTTCGGTTTAACGTGCAGCACAAACCCAACTAAACCCCCCACCTTCATACCAAATTCTCTGGGATGATCGCTTCACCCCTCCCCCCACCACGTGGCTAACAGCGGGGATGATTTCTGTT